CTAGAACGAGGGTTGTTTGGAAAAGTAATGTTTCAACAAGCTCAATCTTCTGGAGGTCTTAGGAGAACAGCATCAAAACCAAACAAATTGAGGTCTCTCAGCATTTTGAGACTCTGGGGGCTTCCAAACTTCGAGAGACCCCAATCTTTTCGAGGTTCAAGACTCAAAAAGGTTGAGGCGTCCCCGCACTTTGGGACTCTGGGAGCTCCAAAACCGTGAGAGGCCCCAATCTTTTTGAGTTTCAAGACGCCAAAAAATGTCCCCCAATACCTCCAAAAGATTGAGTCATTTGAGTCTTTTGGGGCCTCTCAACGTTTTTGCTTCAAAATCACAAAAAGATTGAGGCCTCTCAGCACTTTGAACCTCTGGGAGCTGCGAAACACTGAGACGCCTCAGTTTTTTGGTCCAGGATTCCAAAAGATTGGGGCCTATGTATGTATGATGTATGTACGCACGCATGTAAGTAAGTAAGTAAGTAAGTAAGTAAGTAAGTAAGTAAGTAAGTAAGTAAGTAGGTAAGTAAGTGAGCAAGCAATTAAGCAAGTAAGTAAGTAAGCAAGTAAGGAAGGAAGGAAGGAAGGAAGGAAGGAAGGAAGGAAGGAAGGAAGGAAGGAATCAAGTAAGCAAGTAAGTAAGTAAGCATGCATGCATGCATGCATGCATGCATGCATGTATGTACGTATGTATGTAGGCATGCATGCATTTATTTTTTTGTGCATGGTTGTATGTATGCATGTATGCATGTATGCATGTAATTGTGTGTTTACATATGTATGTATGCATGCATGTATGTATGTATGCATGTATGTATGTACGTATGTATGTTCTTGTTCCTCTTACACACACACACACACATATATCACATATATATATACGTGTATGGAGAGACAGATATCACGACATTTATAGTTGCACAAACTGGCATGATTAAGCTAATGCTGCTTATGCAAGGAAGCCGTCCAAGATCAGCTCCCAGGAGCTTTCCGAAGGGTGTGTAGGTGATTTGCTTGTGGTGGTCAGGGTTTTTAGGCCTTAGGGTTGAAGGTTCACGGCTTTTAGGGTAAGGTTTGGGTTCGGGGTTTTGGGAGTTTGGTTCAGGTTTGTGGGTTTAAGGGGTTTTAGAGTTTGGTGGTTCAGGTTCGGGGGTCGGGGAATAGAGTTCAATCGTCGTGGTTGTCAGGTACTAGATTTTTCTCTGCACTGAAAGGACTGTGCAGCTGGAGCGCCAAAGCTCCAGATAGCACCAATGCTTTTAGTCTCCCGTGGCTTTTGAGGTCTGTGTCTGTTTGGCAGTCCATCTTAAGGGCAGCCCCAATACCTACTTAGTTGTAATCGGTGCTTGAGCTCATGAACCTGCACGCAGGCAAGGAGTGAAATCTCAGAGTGCGCTAGCCCAAAGCCCAAGACCCACGCCGCAGGTCCTAGAACCCCTATACCCCAAACTCCCGAAGCCTTACACACTAACCCTAAACTCGCCAGGAAACCAAGACTCGGAGTACGCCAGATCCCTTCTCGGATCTGAAAACTGCTTTCGAGCCGTCCGCTTCCAAGTTGCGGAAGGGTTCGGGCAGGATCAGTTCAGGTCTAGGATTTAGGCACAGGAGAACTCTTGGCAAGTTGTTATTTTGGCGTGGACTCGCTCCTGCGCTATACACTGCCACTAGATGGATGAGCGCAAGTAGGAGCGCAGCTCAACATGCCAACATAGACGACTCTGTGCTTGCATTGTATGTATGTACGTATGTATGTATGTATGTATGTATGTATGTATGTATGTGTGTATGTATGTATGTATTATGTACGTATGCATATGTGTGTATATATATATAATCTGTATGTATATATATATATACACATACTTTTCTTTATATGTATATGATTATGGACACCTGGCACCCGTTGCAGAATAAGCCAAGTGAAAACAGTTCAGTCCAGCCGGTCGCTGCTCACAGGCCCCATTGGGCTGCGCTTCGATACACCTCTTCCACCCTTAGCCCCATATGCCCCTAAGTAGTTCCTTTTTGTGGTTCATATTTAGAAATCCTATAAGGTAATCCCAAAGAGGAACTACTTAGGGGCCTATGGGTAGCCCCATGAGCTCCAAACCCTACACAGCCTAGGCCTGAACTCCGAAACCTTCTCCGACCATGGCAGGCAAAGAGAAAAGCTCAAGACATTCAATCTCAAGCAGATCGTGACAAGGCTTGTCCGCCCCGGGTTTAGGTTTCAAGCCCCTGATGTGGGAGTTCATAAGACTCACAATGAAGCGAGAGATGGCCTTGTAAGACTGTAAGAGATATACAGACATGTAGCAAGGCCTATGTTACACAAGATGCTGTGGCACTTATAAGGAAGACACGCTGGCAGATTCCCATGTAATGACATGTGGTCACGAAACTTTATGTAGCTATCTGCCTCTCGAGATCTGTCTCCCTGATTATAGGTATGGGCCTATACACATACGAACATATAAGAACAAAAAGTACAGTTATTTTTCAGAATATCTGAACATGTAGACAAGTACAGGAATCGAGCTCGAGTAATACGGTATTATAGAGCCGTAAACCTTAAACCTTGAACCCCAAACCATCCCAACCCCTAAACCCTAAGCCCTAAACCCCTAAGCCCTAAACCCCTAAACATTAATCCCCAAACCATCCTAAGCCCTAAACCCCAAATCCTCTTCCATTGTATGGTTGGAGCGGCTCCGCTCTGCAGGAATGGCACAGTGCTCATGAACATGCTCGAGCGGTTGCTGGTCACACACTTACGCAGCAGGGTTTCGGGTTTAGGGCCTTTTAGGGTTTAGGGCTTAGGGTTTAGGGACTGCCGTGGTTCGTGTCTTCGTTTCTGTACCGTTGGCCGCTCTTCGCGAACCTTTCCCGAAGCCGGGCATGTGTGTGTTTTCTCGCTTGCCATGCTCGCGGGTTCAAAGAGCCAGAAGCACTTGTGCAACGAAGCATACCATGCGATCACTTGTGCCAAGCTTGGTGCAGACAAGACTTTCGAAGACCGCTGAAGGGCAGGTTTATACATATCTGTATGTAGATACACACCGGTATGTAAATACATATCTGTATGTATATATACATGTACACGTACGTAAAGCATTTTATATACGCGCAAACATACATGCAGATGTTAGCATTGCTGCAACATAAGTACGATAATTGTAAAGACCCGTTAATCTATTACTAATATGAATGGTGATAACAATGATTAATGCCAGCTTTCTATATGCACGCCTGTATTACTTTTGTTGTCATTATTGCTGTTTCCGTGATCAAGGTGATAAATGAGTTTGCACGAGCGAGGAACATCTAGGAGTCTAGGAAGCTCATGCGGGATTAGTTCGGGCGTTTGGCCACTGATCTCAACTGGAGCATCATGGATGCGCTGGAGAAGCTGTGCGTGGCTTGTATCCATCGGCCACGGACTGTGCTCGCCAGCTGGCTCTTGCTGGCTGCTGTTTGTGCACCCTTTGGTCTGCAGCTGATCGACCACTGCAAGTTTACTTTCGAGCCGGTGCCGGGCACAGAGACGTATGATGCACAGGCAGCCTTCAAGCGAGAATTTCCGGCGAGCGTGAACCAGGAGCTTAGAAGCTGAAGTCCCCATGCACTTTTACCCATGGGTTTCAGTTGCATTTCTAGCTCTCGGGCTGAAAGCCTTCTTGCAGAATCGTGTCTTCTTAGTCCCCCCCCTACTTAAGGGCTATAACTGGGATCAAAGGTGCCTTAGGTAGGGTTATCCTAAGTATAACCTTACTTATAACCTTACTTACTAAGTTCCATAGTCCATAGCCTTTAAGTAGCCTTTTGTCAGGATGTGGAGGTGGTTCTCATCAGCTGTGCTGGGCATTGCCCGTCTGGCATTGCCGCTCTGGACTTTGCGAACCATTCGGTGCAGGAGCTGAGGAGTATCTGCTCGTCCCTGAACTCCTCGCACGTAGGTGTGTTGCACAATTGGACAGACCACTTCCAATTTTCGGCTTCGGCCCCTGCGCGACTGGGCCTTCCTAGCCCCTTCTTGTCGGCCTCCAACGAGACGCTGCTCTTCCAGCTCTCGTGGACAGTGGGAGACCGGCAGCGGGAAGTCATCGCCATGCTGAACGAGGTCCGCCAGTTGGTGCAAGAGCTTCACCGGCAAGGTCTGAAAGAAGAAGAGCAAGTTTCTGTCAGCATTGCAGGTCAGCTTGCTTTGTTCACAGACACTCTTTCATCTACCAGGCAGGATATCGAGAAGAAGGACATCATTGTGATGCCCTTCGCTCTGCTAGTGCTGGCAAGTCGAGTCGGCTCACTTCGCCTCATGATCATTCCCATCTGCTGCCTAGCTTGCAGCCTTGCTGCATCCCTGGGGATCTTCTTGCCTTTTGCGATCTACGTCGTCGACATCTCACCCCTCGCGCCCAGCACGATGGCCTTTTTGGGTATTGCCCTGGCCATTGACTACTCTCTGTTCATGCTCCTGGGTTCTGAACTGCAACCTGAACCCCAAACATCCCTAAACTAAAGATCCCTAAACACTGCACCCTAAACCCCAAACATCCATAAACCCTAAACATCCCTAAACTCTGCACCCTAAACCCCAAACATCCATCCCTAAATCCTAAACATCCCTAAACCCCTAACCCCTAAACCTTAGACATCCCATCCCGAAACCCCGAACCCCCAAACCCCTAAACATCCCTAAACACTACACCCTAAACCCCTAAACATCCACAATTGAATCCTAAACATCCCTAAAACCCTAAACAACCCTAAACCCTAAAGATCCCTAAACCCCTAAACTCCTCAGCACAGGCTCACGCGCTACGCCGAAGAGGTGGAGGCCGGGGCCTCGACGGAGGTCGCGCTCCGGTCCACGCTGAGACAGAAGCCGGGATGGAACTTAGGTTTTCGTGGTGAGGGGTTTAGGGTTTAGGATGGTTTAGGGTTTAGGGGTTAGGGGTTGAGGATGGAACTTAGGTTTTTGTGATTCGGGGTTTAGGGTTCAGGGGCTAGGGGTTTAGGATGCAACTTAGGTTTTTGTGGTTAGGGGTTTAGGGTGTAGGGGTTAGGGGTTTAGGATGGAACTTAGGTTTTTGGGGTTAGGGGTTTAGGGCGTAGGGTTTAGGGGTTCGGGGTGTAGGATGGAACTTAGGTTTTCGTGGTTAGGGGGTTAAGGTTTAGGGGTTAGGGGTTTAGGATGGTTTGGGGTTTGGGGGTTGGTTAGAGATTAGGGGTGTAGGATGGTTTAGGGGTTTAGGGGTTAGTTAGGGGCTTAGGATGGTTTGGGGTTTCGGGGTTTAGGGCTTAGGGGTTTAGGATGGCTTAGGGTTTCGGGTTTAGGGTTTAGAGTTTAGGGTTTAGGGTTTGGGGTCCCCCAAACCCTAAACCCTCCCACTTCTGTTCTGTCTTGTTTTGGGAAGTTTAACTCCTCTTTCAAAAGGAGGCTGGGTTGGGGATCAGCTTCCGGGGCTCTTTCTTGGGGGGTTTTCTGAAGATAGGGGATCCTAATATAGTACCCCAAAATAGTAGGATCCTCATGAATAAGGACCCCAATATTTTAAGGTACCCCTTCCCTAAACCCCAATATAAGGTACCAAGGTACCCCCTTATTTTCGGAAGCTCCCTCTTGTAGAAGGTCTATATACCTTATAGAAGCCTTATAGAAGCCCTATATATACCCTAAACTCCCCACCTGTAGTTTCCTTTAACCCTAAACCCTAAACCCCAATATACGGTACCAAGGTACCCCCTTCTTTTCGGAAACTCCCTCTAAACCCTAAACCCTAAACCCTAAAACCCTAAACCTTTTCACCGACCAAAGGAGTGGCCATGTGGTCCTGATCAGCAGCTCCGTGCTGATCATCTGCTACATGGGTGTCTCGGGTGGCACTCTTGGGAGACTTTGAAAAGGTTCCCCTTGTGGCTCTTATAGAGGTACTTACCTAAACCTTATAAACCCTAAACCCTAAAACCATTCCTTAAATTAAAACACTTTTTTGAATTCCCCGAAACCAGAACCCAGGTGTTCTCTTCTACCCCAGCGGCGGCATCGCCACCATCGGGCTCGGAGCCTCTCTGACGGTCTTTCTCTGTGCGGCCTCGAACCTCACTCTGACCCCTTGCACGATCTGCGCCTTCAAGGGCCTTTTCGGAGCCGAAGCCCTGAAGCGAAGGCGGGACAGGAGAGCCGGATTCCGTGCACCTTGTGGGAGGGCTTGCAGAGGCTGTTGGCCGGCTGTCGCAAGGGCTGTGACGACGAGACCTGGAGTGATTGTGGTGCCCTTGCTGTGCTTGGCCTTCCTGCTCCCAGCATGCGCTGTGCTGTTCCATTACCGTGAGAGTTTTGCAAACCAGCTGACCTTTCCTACGCACTCAGACACCAGCATTGCCTATCAGCACCTTACCCGAGAGTTCCCGGCTGGGAAGCTCAGCCCGCAGTACGTGCTGCTGCCGGCAAGCAACGGCAGCGTGCGAAGTGACGAGTTTTTCGACGCCTCCTGCCACTTGGCCCAGATCCTTCTCGAGGATCTCTCCGTCCCACCTTTCAATCTTCAAGCCTCCGACCTACTGGGGCCGGCCCTTTTGCCACTCCCAGCGGCACAGGAACAGCAAGGGAACGCTTCGGGTTTGAAGTGCCTTCGATGGAACTCCACGAAGAAAGACGACCTGCATCCCTTCGGCTCGCTCACCGCAGAGACGCTCTTGGAGCTTCCCAACGACCTTGGTGAGGCCTACCGAGAGCAATGGGGCAACTTGGTCAACGTCGGGTCGTGGGGATCCTTTTCGCTTTGTTGTGGCATGAGCCTCCATATATATATATATTTTTCCGGAGGAGGACGCTGTGGGAACCTGCGTGCTTCACGTCCCCTTCTCTTTAAACGAGGTGAGACCGCTAAGAACCCTAAATCCTCATGATCCTCAGATAAACCTTGAGCCCTCAACTGGGAACCCGCAAATCACAAAGACCCAGGCAAGTTGGTCAGCTCCAGGCGGGAAGACACGGCCTTGATCGCCATCACCGTGCCTTTCGATCCCTACAGCGACACCCTCTGGCCTTTCGTGCTGGCCGCAAGGGGTGCCATCAAAAAGGCCACGGGGCAAAGTGAAGAGGAGGACATCTCGGAGAGTCTGTTTCTGGGGCGTCGCCTTCAGGATTCCCCTAAGCCAATGCTGTTCGGAACACTCACCGTTGTGTTCGACATCGTTGAAGTCACGTATGGCCGGATTCCCTACATTGTCTCTGGCACAGTCCTCATTGTCTTCTCTTTGATCGCTTTTGCATTTCGGGCTGCCTTGGCCCCAATCAAGATGTTCATCACGGTCGTGGTGCCCCTAGTCGCTGTGTTCGGGATTGCCGTGTGGGTTTACCAAGATGGTGCTTTCAATTGGCTGCCCGGTGGCCCGGGCAACAACCCCTTCACCACCCCTCCCGGGGGAGGCTTCTACTGGGCAGCTCCCGTGTTCACCTGCACCATCATCATTGGCTTGGCTCTCGACTATGACGTCTTCCTCTTTGCTCGTGTCATTGAGCTCCGAAGGCAGGGCTACAGTAATGAGGTTGCGGTGCGTGGAGGCTTGTGCTTGACAGGCCCCACGATCACATCCGCAGGGCTAATTATGGCAATCGCCTTTTGTGGGCTACTTCTCAGTGATGTTCCCAGCAACAACCAGATCGGCTTTGTGATGGCATTCGGCGTTCTCATGGACACCTTTGTGATTCGCACCTGCCTGGTCCCCTCAGTCCTTACGCTGGCATCATCCCTAAACTACTGGCCACAGAAGATGCCTCCGGTCACGCAGTTCGGAACCGAAATGCTGCTTCTGGATCCTCAGGTGCCAAGCTCAGCATCAGTAGCCTCATAGCCTCATCCTACTTGTGATGATGGATGAGCTCAAGGAGGTCTCTGCTCCACAACAAATCGAGATCCAGCTGCTTACACATAGAAATAACATTACTGTCACTGCCTCTGCCACTGCTTCTGCTGCTGCTACTGCTACGGCTGCTTCTGCTACTGCTACTGTTACTGCTACTGCTACTGCCACCGCGAGGACGACGACGACCAGTACTGGCACTACTAGTACTAGCAGCTACTAGCACTACTATCATTATGATGGTTCTTCGCACCAGTATCCTTGCAATTCTTGGTTGTATACTTTCTCTCAGTGGTATGATCACCGTTCTCGTCGGTCTTACTCCTAATGCTGCTTGTTGTATGAGCAGCATACTGACCAACATTCGCATTTTTCTTCGAATTTCGCATTCCGACTATCGTGTCTTAAGTATTGCTCTTACGATTGTTACTTCTTGTCTGTGGCCTTTGAATGCTAAGGGACAAGACCTGGCAGAGTACCCCGTTGCGCAAGATGCAACTCCCGGAGCACGCGCTAACCTCGAGGTGGACAACAGCCCGGTGCGATAGCGAAAAGATGGAAAATGCCCGCTGCCCACGCAGCAGTGCTTTTCAGGTAGAGTTTAGGGTTTTTGCACAATTCGATGCAAGAAGGATGGCCTTGTCTGGAAAGGGCACAATGGGTCCCATAATGCATTGACTGGTAGAAGTTAAGCTTTGAAGTTTCACGATTCCGGGTTTAGGGTACCGCGTTTAGGATTTAGGGTGTATGGTGTTTCACGTTCACGAGTTCTGCGTTTATGGCACCTTTCTGTGGCCTAAGGAGACAACCGAGATCGATGCCAGAGATGTGTTGACTGAGCAGACCTTGCTGGAGTATGTCTGCGCCTCAGAGTTGATAGACCGGGGTTGCAGCCGCTGTTGCTGTTGTCGTGTTTATTTGTGGTAGCAGTGCCACAACTTGTGTTCTTGCCATGTGCTTGTTACTTACTACCGCTGCTGCTGCTACGACTGCTACTCCTCCTGCTGCTGCAGCCTCCACCACTGCCACCACAACAGCAACAACAACAACAACAACAGCAGCACCAGAACCAGCACCAGCAAAAGACAACATCATCAACACTGCTGCTGCACTGTGAATCTTCTTGCTGTTATCTCCACAGTCAGTTCGTGATGGCGACCGGCAGGCCTGTCATACCGGAAACATGGGCCTGGCGAAGCTTTGCTACCGTCGCGGAGCCAACCTGTCCGCCAAGACCAACAAGGACTGAAGCCCAAGCCCGAAACCTCAACTTTGAGTGGGAGATGCAGTAAATCAGGGGGGTCCTCATCCAGTGTGTTGTCTGAACCAATTCAGCTCCACCTTGAAATTCCGTACCCTGAGCCCTGAATCCTAAACCGCTTAGGGTTTACGATTTTAGGGTTTTAGGGGGTTCGGGCCGAAACCCGACTCGCCTGGCCCTTCCAGGGGGAGACCGCCTTCAACATCGTCACCAAGAACAAGCGCCGCAGTCTCAGTTCATCCCGGAGATCGGAAAGGACTCGGGTTTAGGGTTTAGGGGTTTAGGGTTTAGGGTAAAGGTGCTAATGAAGAGTTCCATGCCTATAGCTAAAGCACCCACAAGAGTAGTGACAGTACCACCAGGGAACAAAGCAGTGTGATTGAGAGCAGCATGCACGCCGCAACAAAATCATACTATACAACCCGTCCAAGCAGCTTCCAGGTTACGATCTGATGGAGTTCCTCCACACCTACGGTGTCAAAGTCAACTCCGCAGACGCACAGGGAAGGCCTTCACAAGCCTTCGCCCACATTTCTGAAGAGCTGGGTTTCAGTTTCTAGTGCCTTTTTTCGGTTTTGGGATCAAGAACAGAGTGGTCTATCATCAGACATGCAGGACCGCGCTCCACGTGGCAGCGGCCAATGACGATGTAGATGGTGTTTGCCGTCTTCTTGAGTGGGGTGGAACTCCCAGCCGGACTCCTCTACATTTGCAGATGCATCCTAGACAGGGCTGATGGGGTTTTCTTGTAGCATTATTGTGTATGCCCAAAATGTCGTGCGACCCCACGAGGTGCGGATGTCAACATCAAAGATGTCAAAAAGAAGACACCGATCCATGTGGCGGAACTGTCCTCAGCGCGAGTCGGATGGATGATTCTCCATGTATGTATATTTCTCTATGTATATATATATATATGCACATGCACATCTCTCTGTTTATGTGTGCCAATATGTATGTGTATATATAAACAAAACATATCAGCATTGCTGTTGTTCTTGCACAGCAGCCGAACTGAAAGGATCAAAAGCACGACAAGCAACACAACGTACATGTCTGTAGAAAGGGTAAACTCACCTTCAAGCAAGCATCCATCTGTACCCATCTACGTCTAGATGTATCAGTCTCATTTCCTGGGAAACGACCTCGGAAACAATCCCAAGGCAATGAAAATCCCGTTTCCGAGAAGCAGAGTTCGAGAAAAGGGAGGGCGCCTGGAAAAAAACCCTAGTCGCCCCAAACCCAAGGCCGCCGGCGGGAACATGAAGACCACCATGTTGCTCCTCGAGGCTGCACGACTCAGGGTTTAAGATGGGGCCGATGGAACTAGCATGACTACCTTGTAGTCTGGAATTCAGGGAAGAGGCAGGGATCCCATTTTCCGGGCGAAGGAGGGTATCTAGTGTTCAGGATCTTTAGGGTGAGAGTTTGTTTTGTTTTAGTTTGGGAGAGATCATTGAGCTTAGCCACAAAGCAAGAGCCGCAGACATACCTTAAAGCTCAAACCCCGCAGATGCTCGCCATCCTCTGAACAGAACTCCGGCCCTGCCAAGCGGCCAGATGTTAATGTTTAGGGCTCTAGGGTTCTAGGGTTTAGGGTTTAGGGCTCTAGGGTTCTAGGGTTCTAGGTTTAGGGTTTAGGGTTCTAGGGTTCTAGGGTTTACGGTTTAGGGTTCGATGTGAGGGCCGCATGGCGTTCTGCAGTGTACCGATTCTCATCATGCTATTCGGCACAGTGCTGCGATGGCTACGATGGAACCCTAAACCTGAACCCGATAGAACCCCCAAACCCAAATCCCAAAAAAACACCCTAAACCCCAAACCCCTAAACCCCTAAACCCCTAAACCCCTAAACCCTAAACCCCGGGTCAAGCTGGAGGTGGGTGCGGACATGAACGCCAAGGATGACCGCGAGTACACTGCAGCCTGAAGCCCAACTTGCAGCCCAACACAGGGCTCCGACTAACCGGTAAGAATATCTCCCTGCAGTTACTCATTGCTCCCACAAAAAATAGACTAGAACCCCAAACCTAACCTCCAAGCAAAAGCCTATTCTGATGATGGGTTTTGGGTCGTAGAGTTCAGGTTTTTACTCTGAGCCCAGTACTTGAGGGTCTTAGGCTGTTAGGATTGGTGTCCGAGGTGGCGCATGCAGAAGCGAACAACCACTTCGTCCTGATGGACAGGTTGGTCCAGTCGTGCCCTCAAGATCTCCCCGAGCATCCTCTGGCAGACAGGGGGAGATCTGCAAAACACATGCTCGTACATTCAGCACCGAAACTGCTGCGAGTGCTAGTGCTCATATCAAGCTGACGACTTACATACTATCAATACCACCGCCACTGCCAACATAATCGACGTCGGTTCATGTCAGCGGCCTTATCGGCAGGAGGGTGACGGCGATTGTCATCCGAACTACCGCTTGAAGCAAGCACCTGTTGACAGAGAGATTGCTGATCTGGCTGTCCTTGTTATCATATACCACAAGTGCTGTTCTCGCTGGTAGCTTTGTGACGACTGTTCTCTAGGGTGTTGATGAATGTTGTGAACATGCTTGTTACTAGTACTCTTGATCTCATCGGAACTATTGCCTTGATTATTCGCTGACCTTCACAATCGCCAACATGCCTTCTACAATATTGCCATTCCTGCCACTGCTGCCACAATTTGTTCGCGGTGCCACCACCGTGGCCGTGTGACTTTTTCATTCATCTACTACCATACGATTGTTCTTGCTATTACTATTACTACCAATGACTATCATTACTAGTATTACTAATCATTCCCACCAGTGTCGTGGTGTCGAGCAGGGGTGGACCCGGCAGAAGCCAGCAACTCTAGACCCGCCAGGCAGCCCTCCCATCCAACATGGAGGAACTAGACTAAGCCCTAGAGCCCTTAACCCTAAGACCTAAGCCCTGAAGAATAACCTAAATTCCAATCCGTGGTTGACTCTTCTTCAGCTTATGTCGTCTGTGATGTCCCTAAAGCCCCACTGCGCTGCAGCCCTAAACAGGCTTGTCTCTTACAGGGGCGTATCACAAGGTTTTTGTAGGGTTTGCAGGGCGTTGTCTAGGGCGTCTTATAGAGTTCTTTGTAGGGGTCAGTATAGGGTCATTACAAGATACAATAAGGTTTGTACATGAAATCTGAGGCTCGGTGGAAAGGGGCATGG